TTTTAAGATTTAATAAAATTAGATCAGATATAACTGTTTTTAAATTTTAGCGTTCATATTTGGCCGCTAAACCTGATGGTTTAAGGGATAATATTTTATAAGCATCTGATTCTTTAAATATTGGTAATAGCAGGTTATCAGTTTTGAATTATGAAATAGCTATGGTGAATCAATTTTTTATTAATTATAACAGGTTATCAGTTTTGACAGGATCAGTTTTAGAAGATTATACTGTATCTAAAAATATATATAAATATATATAAACTTAAACTAGTTACAAATTTTTAAACTAAACCTAAATCAAACTTAAATTTAACTAAAAAGTTTGAATATAAAAGTTTAAGTCTGGTTCAAAAAACAAACAAAACAAATTTAATTAAAGTTTAGTTCAATTTGGTTTAATAAAAATACTGTTATTTAATAAAAACTTTATATTTTAAATTTAATTTATTTATTTAAAATTAGTATTTTAATAACTAGTGGTAATCATTACTGGTATATAATTAGCCAATAAATTTGTATGATCAGATATAATATGCAAATTCATTTGTATAATAATAATAAAGATTTTTTTAAAAAATACTGATATCTCAAAAATTTGTCTATGAAACTATCTTCAATATTCTAACAAAAAAATTTCTTGCTAAATTTTGTATATATTTAACATTTTGCTAAAATCTTAGGCCTCATTCTAATCCTAAAGTAAACGAAATAAAATATTTTTTAGTTTATCATTATTGGCTAATTATATATTGGTAATGATTATTCTGGTTATTCTAACTAAAACTTTTAAAATTAATATATATTATATATATTATTTTATAAATTTAAGCAATAGCAAAAAATAAATTTTATTAAATTTATTTTTTTTACTAATTTTTATTAATACAAAATTAACAAATTATAATTTTGTTATTTAAAAAAAAGCAATTATTAGCAAACCTTTTACTAATACTAATTAAGAATCTAATTTTTTTGCTTTTTCTTTTAATTCAATCTCTTTAGCAAATAATTCTAATCTAACTTTTTCATTTTCTAATTTTTGTTTTTCAATTACTATTAATAATTCTTGTTTTTTGATTTCAAGTGCAGTTTCTCTTTCTTTAATAGAAATTTCTATTTCTTTTTCTTTTAAAATAAATTTTCTTTCTTTTCTTGACAATTCAAAATTTGAACTTTCAGCATAATTTGATAATAATTCTTCAGCTTTTTTTGAAGTAGCTATTGTTTTTGCTTTTTTTTTAATAGGTGCAGTTCTTTGAATACTCTTTTGTTTTTTTGTACTAATAATTTTTTATTTTAATTATTAAAATTAAAAATTTAATAATTTAATAAAATAATAAAAAATAATTTATTCAACACCCAGGTGAGTTACTCACCCCCCTTAAGTACAAAAGGGAACCCCAGTCATATTAATATATTAGGATTAAAATTAAGGTTAGGGTTAGGGTTAGCCTA